CTGACCTTTTCTGGCCTTGAAACCTGATGACTGTACCAACCTTGGTACCTCTGTGCTGGACTAAACGTAGGATTCAAATTCAAGAGCTCTGGCCATTGCATCCTCCATAGTAGAGGGATGTGCTTGCTTTACTTGTATCTTCAGTTGTGGACTGTCCAAGGCATCTACAAACTGATCCCTCAGCAACAACTTGAGGACATCAGAGAGGCCTTGTGTGCCATACTTTCCAAATCCTGTGACAGCTCTTGCAGGCTCTCCCCTTTAGCATGGACGCTCGTCCTAAACCTAGCCCAGTAGACTTTGGACTGATTTTGAGTTCCATACCTGAGTTATAGAGCCACTATCAGTGCTCTATAGTTGTGCCTGTCATCTGCTGACAACTGTCCAAGTATTTCCAGTGGTTGTCCCTTCAAGCTTGTTGCCAGACATACTGCTTTTTGCTCCTCTATCCATCCATTCATCTCTGCCAGGAGCTCAAATTGTGCTCTATGTGCTTCCCACAGTGCCTTCCCATCGAATTCCTATGGCTTCCTTCTTACTAGATCACCCTATTGCTGACATTCATATCTGGGATGTGACTTCTAACAGGACTGAAGATGTCTGCATTAGGGTTTAGCTGCGGGGTCTGAAAGGGGCTTGCCATTGTCTGGGGCTGATTAAGTCGATGGTTAATGTATCCTCCTTGTGTAAAAGACAATAAATCGTCCGTTAATGTATCTAATTCACTTTGAAATTTGCTAATGTTTTCCATTTGTACTTCTTGCCACTGTTGTTGACTTTCCTGTAGTTGCTACTGACTTTCCTGCAACTGTTGGAGACTTTCTTCCTGTTTCCTTTCTTGTTCCAATTGCCACTGCTGCAATCTCTCTTCTTGTTTCTTTTGCTGTTCTTTTATTGCTACCATCAAATCTGCTAAGCTGTAGTTTGATTTGCCGCTTCCCGTTTCCATCTTCTTTTTTTTCTGTCCCACTCACTGACACCAATTTGTTACGCCTCTGTGTTCGTTTGTTAATTTCCCGTATATAAATTCTTCCCGAGGAGCTTCAGAGATACAAGTCCTTTCTTAAATAAAACTAGTTTATTTTTCTCAATACAACTTTGTAATACACTTAATTTCCACAGTCATTTTAAACACACGCTAT